GTGTTTATTACAGGTTCGGTTTATCATTTGAAGCAAAGCTGTGTATCGGAAAAGTGGCTTCAAGAATAAATAAAAGCAGCAGAAAAGGCGGGGGGAAATGGTGAAGTGAATATAATAGGGTGCGAAAGCGAAAGATGTTTTAAAAGTGATTACAGATATAGCACTAGTAGAGAAATTATGTTGATGGTGATGACGAATTAAAGAACTCAGACCACTCGTATGCCGTCTCCGCGATAAAGGTTGGCTGTTTGGATCTCCAAAATCGTCAGGCTATCACCCTGTTTAAAAATGATTTAGACACATCTCTTTATGTTACGCTCAGAGGAAAGGCAAGACGGACCTTCAACCAGACCATGACCGGCACCATTAGTATTAGAACTCAGCGCTGGCTGCTGAAGAGAGGACGGAGCTCTTATGGGAATGTCCAGAGTGCTTTTATGTCAATTCTTGACTTTCAGATCTCGACTAACGAATTCAGACAGTGGTACGAGAGGTGGCCAATGGAAAAGACTTGAGCTCTATACGCAATTTTTCCAGAGTTGACAGAAAACCTACACTGTGGAGACACATAATTAAAAAAATTAACAATAAGGCAATAATAATAAGATAATAATTGTAAGGTAATAATAATTAGACGTCGGAATAGTAGTAGTAGTAGTAGTAGTAGTAGTAGTAGTAGTAGTAGTAGTAGTAGTAGTAGTAGTGGCAGCAGCAGTAGTAGTAGTAGTAGTAGTGGCAGCAGCAGTAGTAGTAGTAGCAGTAGTAGTAGTAGTAGTAGTAGTAGTGGCAGCAGCAGTAGTAGTAGTAGAAGTAGAAGTAGTAGTAGTAGTAGTAGTAGTAGTAGTAGTAGTAGTAGTAGTAGTAGTAGTAGTAGTAGTAGTAGCAGTAGTAGTAGTAGAAGAAGAAGAAGAAGGGGAGGAGGAGGATTAGAATAAATAGTAGGAAAAGAAGATTAAGACGGAGGATGGGTTGGGAGGATGAGTTGGTAGAGGATAAAGGCATTGAGGCGAAGCATGTAAAGTAACATAATACAAAAGAAAGAGAGAGGCAGAGAGAGACAGAGGCAGAGAGAGAGAGAGAGAGAGAGACGGAGAGACAGAGAGAGAGAGAGAGAGAGTGAAAGACAGATAGAGAGAGAGACATACAAGATATCAAAAGCATATCCTGCAAAGATATGAAATAGATAGACAATCGACAAACAAACAGCCGTACAGACATATAACTAACAGACACAAATACAGCATCTTGCACGAAAGCGAAGTAAAGAGACAAGAGAAAGAAAGAAAGAAAACACGCTAACAAATCCACCGCCCGTTAATTAAAAGAAACGCATATTAAAAACCTTCAAGGGCGGTAACGGGATTCATGGGAGGTAATTGTGTATTCATGTGTGCCCGTTAGTGGCAGTACTGGCGCGTGGCCAGAGGTCGTGAGTCGTGGCGAGAGAAAAGTGTCACCCTGGCGTCCACGCTCGTGTCAGTCTTTCCCACGCCTGCAACGGGTCGGACAAACACCTGCGATCTTGGATCATTCAGTGTGGGGCGGGTATCTGTTTCTCCTGTTTTGAACATTACTCTTTTGGTTCTATGTTACATACCAGGCGTGTAACCGGGATAGATCAAAACTTATACCAAATTCCGTCCTTTTCAGGACGAAATTTTTGTCATTTGAAGCCCCACTCTGGCTTTTGCCAGGGGTTGCAATATAGGCAGGCCATTTTATATGGCCAAATGTCTGAACGCGGTTTCTGGGACCTCTCCACGGCGATCCTCATCCACATGGTGGCACTTTGTGTCATCGGGTGTTTATCGCTTGTGTGATGTCCTGGTGGGGTAGAAATTCAGTTCAGTTCAGATCAAAACGTAAATTGTGACCATTTTGGGTTTCTAAACATTGTTTCCATGAGTAACTTTTATCCGAATGGTGGCAGTTTGTGTCACCGGGTGTTTATCGCTCTGTGATGTTCTAGAAAAGTAAAGATCCCTTTTCACGCCTTTAGGCGCATCGGGCATATGGGAAGAGCACCCACATTTTTACACACCAATCGGAACTAGGTGGGTATTGGGGTCAGCATTTAGCCGGCCGTCTTTACCTTCCTAGGACGTACATCCAGGAACCCATTTTAAGCTGGGTCGACCTGCGACGCCCCAAAACACATAAAAATCCACGCAGCCAGCAGTGGGTTTCGATCGTGGTATGTTAAAATTACGAGTCGGACTCGCAATGCCTAAGCCATGGATGTCGCTCTGGTAGGTAAGTTGTACCCCATTAGGACAGCACACAAGCGATAAACACACGGTGACACAAAGTGCAACAATTCGGATTAAGGTACCAGAAAACCCGTTCAGACGTTAGGCCATATTTATGGCCCGGTTATATTTAGGGCCACCTGCAAAAGTAAGGGTAGGGCTTCAAAACAACTAAATATTGCATCCTACTTGTGGACGACTTGGCTCTGTGTGAAGCCCTGGTGTCTGCAAAACGTCAGCCAGGCTTATAAGTTCACGGTATTTAAAAAAGGAACACGTATGATAGCTCTAGTTCTGCATTTGGTGAAGCATGAGCAACCTATTTTTCAATGTTTTCAAGCTCTCCATTATCGTCTTTCTGTTGTGTCCTCTTGGAGCTCGTAGTCTATTCCTCAATTCCGTTCTGTCTTGTGTAATCCTTTCAATATCGTCCATGGAATCCGGTTTAGCGCCTTCACACCTGAACATTCCCCGTGTGGGTTCCCGGGCCCTAATTTAGGAGGGGGGGGGGGTAAACAAGAATATACCCAATGCCACCCCAAAAGCATGTCGTAAGAGTCGACTAACAGGAAGCTTCCTTCGAAGTCGGAGTACATCTGCCGGAGCAGCAAGGAACCAACAGTCTGCATGCAAAAACGGATGTGCATGCAACACTCAGCTTCTCGAACAGGACTAGAGTCCAGAAGTGGACGAACAACCAGAACCTTCCGTCGAAGTTTACAGCCAGTGAACGTGAAGAAGAAGAAGAAGAATTCACTCCAGCGTCTCTGGCCTATCTCATCTTCACTCGCTTTAGTGTTTCTTTTGGGGGTCCTCACTTTCTCAGTCCCTTTATCCCTCATTTCAATGCCTGTTTAGTGATCCTCTTTTCCACCCTTCTTTAAACATGTCTACTACAGCGCCATTTTATCTGTCTTATAACCTTTGACTCTTGTGGTTAGACATGAGTTTCTTTTATTTCTTCACTTTTCTTGATTTTATCCAATTTCCTGCAAGTTTCTGTAGCAAATACGTTTTTTCTAACAGGGCGGAGGAACTGGCCCTACGCCCAACACTCCTTCTGTATTTTCATGGCTTGGGACCGACAATGGCGGAGATATTCTTGTATAGGTTAGTTGCGTATGCTTTACAGGACGTCGCAGAACCAACCCCAGCATTTTTTGGCTGTTGTGGCTCTTCTAGGTAGATTTTACGTTCAATAGTTGGCCATTGCTTTCTGAACAGTACCAAGTGCAAGACACACCGTCTGCAGCAGGGATGGAACCCGGCACCTCACCATTACATAGCGCGTTTGCAACGCCTAAGCCACAGACGCCGACTCTTCTTGTATATAGGGGCCTAAAATATGTAAAGTATGTGATTAAACATCACAGGAACAATAACTATCATAGTCAGGGCTTTAAATTATTTTACGTTATAGGCAAATAGCCCATAAGCTGATCGTCGTTCACTTGTGGTAAGTTCAGATAAAGGTTTCTAACCGAAACGTTTATTTCTGGTTCGTTATTTTCATAATGTCAAGGTCACTAGCTGTACTTTTCATTCCGATTGATATCTTTACATAGTAGCCCAGACAAATAATATGTAACATCTTTTTCTTACTCGTTTGTCGAAGCGACGTACATTCATTGTTGTGTCTGTCTAGAGCACAGCTGCGATTTTTGGAACCTTCGGCCGACACATCTGACTTCTTAGGGTATTTGTTATCTGTGATAGCATGCCCGGCTCTCTAGCGAAGTTGGTTAAACCTGACTTTCGCGGCGGCCGGGTGACGAACTCCTTGTGGTCCGGGTTCACTCCCGGGGGTAGGCAGAAAAGCCACATTTCTCCCAGATTAACGGTACCTATAATGGAATCAATGCCGAAGGGTTGCGATATCCATAGTACCGAGCCAAAGGGTTTACAACTCATGGTTTCTGGATACGTAAAAAAAAAAAAAAAATATGTGATAGCTTTTCATGCAGTACGTTAAACTAGTTACACAGGATCCACTTCAGTTCGGTCCCTTAAACCCTTTCTCACTCAAAACGTTTGACCCAGCCTTAAATATGTACTAGGTAAAGTCCAGGGAAGTAAAGACTGCCGGCTTGATGTTGCTCATTACCTTAAACCCTTTCTTACTCAAAACGTTCGACCCAGCCTTATATATTATTAGTTAAAGTCCAGGGAAGTAAAGGCTGCCGGCGTGATGTTGACCAGATCAATCTAGGTCTATATACAAATATTTTTTTAAAAATTTTTCATTTACTTTCCAGGAGTACTTTTAACCAACTCGTTGCAATGAACGCACGCATCTCGGCGACTCTAACCCTTTCTTATTAAAACCGTAACACTTTCAAGAAACAACAGTCAGACACGTTCAAGACATGTCCCCTCATTGATACCTGACCGCAAACAACGCACATGATCCAACAACAACGACAACAACAACAAAGAACATCTGTGTGTACATATCGCAGCCACGCGGCCAATCGCCGAGTGGTATTGATCGACAGTTGTCAGGCACGCGTCGAGCGCACGGCCAATCGGCTGTCACCGCCGGCCTCGAGGGCGGTATTAAGCGTGAGCGCTTGGAGGTAGTGTCTCATTCACTCTCCTGGTCGTGTGCCCAGACGAAACATCCAAGGACAAGGTGCCGGAGGTAGCGACGGTGTTAGTGCATTGTGTTTACCGGTCTGAAGTTGTAGACAGTGCTGATATATTGTTTTATTTTCCGGTTGCTGTTTTTGCTGTGTCCGTTCGTGCTTTAGAATGAAGAGGAGTTTGAGCGAGATCGATTCCGACGATGATGACTTCTCCGAGGAACTTAAGACTGGGTGAGTGTGGCTTTTCTGGTTTTGTTTTGTGTTATGCAACTGATTTGATCTTAGGCAATTGTTAAGTTACTGTAACCAGCTGCAATTACATTTTCTTAGTTCTTTTTGCACTTTAATCGATTCATTGTTCTTGTTCATCGTATCTGTCCATCCAGTACCTCCGTCATATTCTTCTTATTATTTCAATACACTGTTCATGTTTCTCTTGCCATTTAAGTGCATCCCTGTTCTTCCTCTCTTATTATTATTTCAGTTGAATCTCTTTTGTTCTTTCTGTCCTTTTCACACATTCCATTTGTTTTTATTGTCCTTTCAATACATTTCATTTGTTCTTCTGGTCATTTCAATACATTATATCGGTCTTCTTGTTCTAATTTGTTTCTTGTTCTTCTTGTTCTACTAGTTCTTCGACTACTACTACTACTACTACTACTACTACTACTACTACTACTACTACTACTACTACTACTACTACTACTACTACTACTACTACTACTACTACTACTACTACTACTACTACTACTACTACTACTACTATTACTACTACTACTGCTACTGCTACTACTAGTGCTACTACTACTTCTAATACTACTACTACTACTACTACTACTACTACTACTACTACTACTACTACTACTACTACTACTACTACTACTACTACTGCTGCTACTACTACTACTACTACTAGTACTACTACTACTACTACTACTACTACTACTAGTACTACTACTACACTACTACTTTTGCTGCTGTTGCTTCTACTGCTGCTGCTTTTGTTGCTGCAACTGCTATTACAACAACTACAACTACTGTTACAGCTATTGCTACAACTACTGCAACTGTTACGACAACAACTACTATTACTCTGGTGTCGTTATTTTCCACTGTTGATAATAATAAAATAAAAAAAAGTATTTGACGTTGTATATCATTGATATCAGGCGCAATAGAAGCATGATATTAAGTGCTATATATACTTTTAAAAAACTGTTCTTAACTGATATTAAGCTCTGTATATAACCGATATTCAGTGCTGTACACCAGTGCTGTTAAATATCATCTATACTTGATATCATTTATATTAAGTGCAGTATATCCATTGATACTAAGTGCTTTTTGAGCAAATAAATAAATTTAAAAAAAAAAAATTTAAAAAAAACTTATAAAATCTGCAGGGATACTTCGAGCATAAGATACTAGATTCATGATTTTTTAGGCCACTGGAAGAGTGGACATCTCTCCGGTCGCCTTTACTTTCCAGGACTTTACCTAGTGCCAGTTTTAAGCTGTTAACCTATGAATTGAACTCAAGTTTAAAACAAATAAAAATATCCGACTCGATGTGGATTCAAACTCAGTACCTTCAGGCTGGAAGTCAGTTTGTTTTGGATTAAGCTGCATGGTAAAGGCCCCTTTTCCACGCCGTTAGGTGCATTGGGAATATAGGGCTAGACCTGTTCTTCTTCTTCTTTCGTTCGCCTGAAATAAGTTGTCTATATCAGCAGTTTTGTCTCTTGTATAAATTTCACTGTCGTTGTTAGTTCATTCAGTGGTCCATAGAGTTTACGTTCCACTGTTGTTCTTTCTGGCCAAAAGGTTTGCCTTAATGTGTCAAATTCGGTGCAGTCCTAGAGTACATGCTCTGCTGTCTGGGGCACCTTTCCACAGGTGCACATGGCTGATACGCCTATCTTGAATTTTGTGTACATGTGGTTACGTAATCGGTTGTGCCCTGTTCTGAGGCGGAGGATAATGACTTGTTCTGGTCTGTCCCTAATAAAATAGTCGTCTTGTGCTGGGGCTGGTGGTTTCCTGGTCGGTTAGACCTATGTTTTCCATGACCAATAGGCACTTGGTGGGTAATGTGGGCAGCAACACGCCGGCCGCCTTTACTTCACAGTGCTGCACCTGGTACCCTCTCAAGACTGGGTCAACCTAGGAGTCAAGGTCATCTTAAGAAAAAGTTCGACTCCGTCAGGACGCAAACCCACGACATGCCGATCCACGGGCGGGCGTCTAGTCGCCAACACCACGGCGACTAAGGAGCAGGTTAAACTACTAAAATTGTGTGCAAAAGAGGGGTGGGGGTTGAAGGGTAACTCCCCCCCCCCCTCTAACCAAATATAGACGTTCCCTTTCTGAATGTATTTATTTACATATTTCAAATTAACTCAGCTATTTTTTTATATTTATTTGCTATTTAGTGTATAACATTAGTATCATCATTACTGTGCACTTAAAACAAAAGTTAAGCTTCTCCAGTCCCATCTCATAGAACATTACAACGGTTATGAATTCCCCTCCCCCACCGCAAATATTTTTTTGGGTGTCCGCGTGGCTGACTCGCTTGTTTATTTCTGTATTATGTAACTGATTTCACCTGTGTATCTTGACCTTGCTGTTTTCCTTTTGTAGCCACCCACGCCCCTCTCGAACTTTTAATTAAATTAATTAATATTATATTTAAATATATATTAATTATGTTATATTTAAATTAATTAATAGCTCGAGTTGGGTGTGTAGCCACCACAGTTTTTTAAGTGCAGCTGTTTTTCTTTTCTTTTCAGTTCCCCATCTCAAAGTTGCCAGATTAATGATAGAAAGAAGAGACGAGGGGTAAGAGAACTAGATGTTTGACTGTATGTGATTGTGCGTCTGTGTGTCTATCGGAGATAGTTAGACAGATAAGTTAGGTCAGGTCTGTTCATCTATGTTTATTCAGGGGCCAGAATGTAGAAAATTGGGATTGTCACAGGCCAGAGTCATATCTTAGTCAAATCAGTACCAGAATACGGATACGAATGCCACTTAATAGCACTCTGCGGGCCGGATTCGGCTGCCAGTTAGATTATTACATTATTTTGCACTGGTATCCGTGTAGTCAAAGGAGAGTTCTTCTACACCAGAGAGAGAGAGAGAGAGAGAGAGAGAGAGAGAGAGAGAGAGAGAGAGAGAGAGAGAGAGAGAGAAAGAGAGGATGGAGAGTTAGGGTGAAACATAAACAGGAAAGACAGAAAGTGACACACTGACAGATACACAAATAGAGAATGAGAAAAGAACGAGAGAGAAAAATAAAAATGAAAATGAGAGAGAGAGAGAGAGAGAGAGAGAGAGAGAGAGAGAGAGAGAGAGAGAGAGAGAGAGAGAGAGAGAGGGGAGTGAGAGAGAAAAACGAGGACAGAAAGAATATCTGAGAAAGGAAGAGAAAACGTGTCTGTTACAAAGTGGAGAGAAAGAGAAAGAGTGAGAGAGTAAATAAGTAAGAGAGGGAGAGTGTATATGTGTGTGTGTATGTGTGTGTGTGTGTATGTGTGTGTGTGTGAGAGAGAGAGAGAGAGAGAGAGAGAGAGAGAGAGAGAGAGAGAGAGAGAGAGGGGATAGAGAAAGAGAGAATGAGAGAGATGTTTCAAAAGATTTGATTTAAATTATTGCCTTAATAAGAAATGAAAACAAAAATAATTTGTTTTTCTCATGCAGTAATTCGTTTTATCTGTTTTCCTTGATCGTTCTCTCCTACCCTTACATTTATTTTTGATGTTCCCTCTCATACTCTCTTTTCGTGTATGTCTGCATGGCTGTATGTATCATGCTATGTATCCTCCAAGAATATCCCCTTAAACTGTTGCTGTTATCTTTCCACTTGGAAGTAAACAACGACACAAATTTGAACACACATACACACACACACACACAAACACACACACACATCTATGCCGCCTACTTCCATGTGTAACAAACACTATATACCCCTTGTCCGTTTTCATTGAACATTGAACACCTGTTTTTGTTTTGTTTTGCTAGCTAAGTAAAATTGGCTGGTTTCATCAACATACAAATAGCCACGAATTCAACATCTAACGAAGAACTCTTTCTTCCAGGTCATCGAAAAACGCAGAAGGGACAGAATCAACACCAGTTTGTCTGAACTCAGGAGACTTGTACCGTCTGCTTTCGAAAAACAGGTACAGTCAACTCTCTATCTACATATAATGTTAGTTAGTCAATTCAGTTGAAACGAGAAAGATAATTACCAAGAGCTACATAAATCTTAACTGGACGTACATTTGCCTAGAAAAACCACAACAGCAATGTAAAGGATAAGCAAAAAACTAACTAACTAACTAACATAAATCCTGTCCTGATATACGGAAGTGAATCATGGACAGTTGGTCGATTAGGAACAAGTTTTTTGGAGGCGGCTGAAATGTGGGTTTCATTTACGAATAATGAGAATACCCTGGACACATTTCCCGCGAATGAGAACTGATTGCTTACAGCAGACGGAGACAATCTATATTCTTTGGTCAGGTCACGAGAAGGGGAAAACTGAAGTACATCGTGACAGAGGGAAAAATAGGAGGGGAAAAGATGCGGTTCTTTATTAATATCTTACCCCAGAGGAAGTCACCGGACAGTCCAATATTTTAAAGGGTGGTAAGACTGGGTTTCCCGGCTGTCTGATGCTTTTAACAACCCCAAAACATCTAGAACATGCCCTAACCCTAAACCACCTACATCCACAAGAGAGTGCAGCCTAGGTCCCATAAATTCACGCAGCCTAGGTCCCATGAATTCACGCAGCCTAGGTCCCATAAATTCACGCAGTCTAGGTCCCATAAATTCACGCAGCCTAGGTCCCATGAATTCACGCAGCCTAGGTCCCATGAATTCACGCAGCCTAGGTCCCATGAATTCACGTAGCCTAGGTCCCATGAATTCACACAGCCTAGGTCCCATGAATTCACGCAGCCTAGGTCCCATGAATTCACGCAGCCTAGGTCCCATGAATTCACGCAGCCTAGGTCCCATGAATTCACGCAGCCTAGGTCCCATGAATTCACTCAGCCTAGGCCCCATGAATTCACGCAGCCTAGGCCCCATGAATTCACGCAGCCTAGGTCCCATGAATTCACGCAGCCTAGGTCCCATGAATTCACGTAGCCTAGGTCCCATGAATTCACGCAGCCTAGGTTCCATGAATTCACGCAGCCTAGGTCCCATGAATTCACGCAGCCTAGGCCCCATGAATTCACGCAGCCTAGGTCCCATGAATTCACGCAGCCTAGGTCCCATGACTGCGTGCAACCTATCTACCACTCCCTGAAATATCAGGCTGTCCCGTGACCTGTGGATTTCCCCTGTTTGGGGTAGGATATTATTAAAACACCAAAGAGGTAGAAGGAGACCCAGAGAGAAGATGCTGTCCATTCTGACATCATGGCGGGGAAGATCATCTGTGTCAAAAGTGACTGAAAGTACACGAGACAGAAGATTGTGGATGTTTGAAGGTTTGAAGGTTTGAACAATGGATGAACATCAAGACACAAGGGTAGTAACCCATAAGTGCTCCGTTCTACTTCTAATCCAAGCCCGAGTCCAAAGAATCTCAGCGCAGTGCACGAACTCCGTAGCAACAGCGAGGATCCTAAAGATCACACATATGTCCTTCACGGTCCTATTTGGAAACTAATGCCCCAACAAAATGTTGAAATTTGCACGCGCAAAGTAGCAATGCATAAGGTTGCTGTCAAATGTGCCAACACTAACAGTCCCAAACTAGAAATGATTGCAGCATTGTGAAATTTCTTCACGCCCAAGGGTAGAAGTTGATAGCACAAATATAGACACAAAAGATGTTCTACATTGTTGTAAAAGAAGTAGATATTAATGCAAACTGTAAATTTTTGTAAAAAAAGTAGATATTCATACTAATTGTAAATTGTTGTAAAATAGATATTCATACGAATTGTAAATTGTTGTAAAAGAAGTAGATATTTATACGAAATATTTTGTCATCAGGGCTCAGCCAAATTGGAGAAAGCGGAGATTTTACAGATGACAGTGGATCATCTGAAGATTTTACATCAGAAAGGTATAGTTTTGTGTACTTAAGTGTGTGTATATTTTGCTATTGCGTACTTATTTACGTTACGTGGTATAATAAATTCATGTTAGAGTTAAGGTTACGGTTATGAGCTTTGCCAGCCCCGACCGCCTCAAAGACACCGACTAACTGTAACCCTAACCTCAACACTAACTCCCAACGCTAACCCCAGCCTGTAACACCCCTAGAATATTGGACTTCCACGGGAACTCCCAGATTTCCGTTGTTTTTGGTGAATTAAAAACAAAGTACACTATACTGTATGGCTATAATGTTGAAAGGGGTTTCCCAGATGTGTAGTTAATCCTGTCTTAGAGATATTATTACTACACACTGGAAAGCTGGAGGGCAATAGCTTTTAAGAAAACCAGCTAGGTTGGTGCAGACTCCTACACGTCGTCTCCCTCTCCCTGACATAGTACACAAACACTAGCACTGCAAAAGTACCCCCTCCATGCCTACAATCAAGCAGGGTGTGAAATACTGGTAATGGAATATTTTTTCTTCTGTGGCCAGGCTCATTAGGACGTTGCAAAGTTACTATTCTTTAAAATATTTTTTGCATGCGTGATAACCAGGATTGGTTTTGCGCACACTCCTTCTTTACAAGGTTATGTCCCCTAATTTAATGCCGTCAAAAGGCCACACGACTTTATAGGAAATCTTCTTCTTCTTCTTCTTCTTCTTCTTCTTCTTCTTCTTCTTCTTCTTCTTCTTCTTCTTCTTCTTCTTCTTCTTCTTTTTCTTCTTCTTCCTCTTCTTCTTTTTCTTCTTCTTCTTCTTCTTCTTCTTCGATCCTTCTGTCCGAAAAATTATGGTGACCGGTAGGTAGCCTTTAAGAAAGCTGTCATGCAGTCCATTTCATCTCGTGTACCATACAGTTTTGTCTTCATTGTGGTTGGAACAGGCCAGATTGCGTCTCTGTGTCAGCATACAGATGACAATGTTGGAGCACATGCTCAGCATTTTCGGGTGCCACGCTGCAGGGACACGTCTCGTGTTTCCTACACCGAAAAAATGTGTCAACATATGTTGACGATGTCTGTTGCGCCAGTCCTTAGTCTGAATATAACAAACTGTCCCCCTCTAGAGGGGCGATAATGTGTCTTGTGAGAGGAGAATCTGGTGATTTGTTACGAATAGCGTTCATTTAGCGTTGTGACTGGACGCTTTCCTGCTGACCTGAAGGTCGTGGGTTTAGATCCATTTTTTTTCCTTCAGGAAGTTAACCCGGTCAACAATGCTCGATAAAGTCGGATTTGTCTACCGAAAGGCGCAAATATCGCAGCTTTGCTGCAAACAGGCACAATACAGTTACGTCTCTCAGACAAACGAAAAGAAGAAAAACAAGAATCCATATCCAATCATATGTTTGTCTCCAGATTTCGCCTTGGCTGTCATGTCGACCTAGCCTAAAGTGGGTAACAGGAAAGGTTCAAGGAGTTAAAGTCGGCCTGAGTGCAGTCATAATGACGAGACGACCATTAAGATAGCTACGTATCCTTTACAGGATGTTGCAGAACCACCCAACGCATTTTTTTCCAGCTGTTGTGCTTTTTCAAGGCAGCTGTCAGTGCTACTGTCGAAACCAGCGCAAAACATATCGTCCACAGCTGGGATCGAACCCAGCACCCTGGTATTAAGAAGCGCGTTCGCAACGCCCAAGCCACAGATGAACATTAAATAGGCATAGGCTATAGGAGTGAAAGTATGATTAGGTAAAGGTAAGTTAAAGTCGGAAGATGTGAACTAGCGTCATTGCACACGGTTATAAACCATAAGTGCTCTGCCACCATTACGGACAGTTGATAAGAATTGTCCGCCTGTGTCGCCGTTCGCACATAACTCTGTAGCTACAACGATGTTCCTCCATGTACCCATTTCCTAGAGGCTGGGTGAACCCTGGGAGCGCCCGGTTTCGAACACCGACCGTGGGCTGCAGCGAGTCGCAGCTGGATTTAAAAGCGAGTCTCTTATTGACTGAGCTAACGCGGCCCCTGAAAGAAAGTATGATTAGTGTGACTGGAATGTAAGGGGAAAAGAAGCAATGGATAACAATGTTCTTTCCTTTATCATCTACAGGTGTCAACAGTTACAATTTCGATCCTCACACGGTTGCAGTTGATTACCGAGGTGTTGGATTCCGAGAATGCGCCGCTGAAGTGGCTCGTTACCTGGTCGCCGTCGAGGGACTCGACTTGCAAGATCCACTGCGCTTGCGTCTTCTAAGCCACCTACAATGTTTCTCTGCCCAGCGCGAAGCCTCAGCCAAGGCGTCTCTACACGGAAACGCCTGGGGAGGTGTAGGCAGCATGACAGCGATGGCCAGCCACAGCACCTTCACCGCAGCCCAATACCCGGGCCCTTCCATGACTTCGCCGATGACTCAACACCACAGTTTAAACCAGTCTGAACAAATGTCCCACATGCCTACCTCTTCCCATCAAGGCGGAGTCGTTGGGGGTTCACAAGGCGTCTACCCACCAACCTCATCATTCGACACATCCCGACACGGACAATCAGATTCTCTCTTATCTGGACACATGCGACTCTCCGGAAGTGTTAACACATCAGCGGCAGCGCCGATAACTCCCATGAACCACAACTCCGTTGGTCAGTCCCAGTTATCACCTCCCTTGTTTTCAACGCTTCCCAACCTGCACACGCAGTTCCCAATGTCTACGCTTAACATGAACTCTGTCTCGTCAATGATGGCTGCCCAGAACTCGAACACTGCTTACCAGAGCCAGTTACATAATCTCGGCAACAATGTAAAACCATACAGACCCTGGGGTGGTGAGCTGACCTATTGACTATATGAATGACAGCTCATGAACACAACCTGACAAAGAGACTCGAGATATCTCAAAGAACAGACAATGTAACCTTGAGGTAACCATTGCAATAATTTCAAAAAGATTCAGTTTCGTCCTTTTTAGGATGGAATTTTTTTGTTATTTGAAGCCCCACCCTGGCTTTTGCCAGGGGTCGTCATATAGGCAGGCCATAAATATGACCAAATGTCTGAACGCGGTTTCTGGGACCTCTCCACGGCGATCCTCATCCGCATGGTGGAACTTTGTGTCATCGGGTATTTATCGCTTGTGTGATGTCCTGGTGGGGTAGAAAGTCAGTCAGTCAGTTAGCCATTATTGTTATTTATTCGGTAAGAGTGTAGAATACACCATCTGATTGGCTCCAGTTATAACGTATAGTTTCCACAATTTAATTGGCTTCCAAATGGGAGACGAGAGAAAGAAAGAGGAGATAACGATGGAGGAGGAGGAGGAGGAGACAAGGACGAAAGCGATGATGATCAGGAGGATGAGCATTGATGGCAATTATGAAGGAAAAGAAGAAGAAAAAGAAGAAGAAGAAGAAAAGGAAGAAGAAGAAGAGGAAAATAATGATATGCTACTAAATGTTGGGTTTCACACCCAGTTCCCAGTGTTTGTGCAAGAGAACTCTTGAATAGACTATCCTAATAGTTTTTGATTGTCTTTGTTTTAATAGCTTAACCGAACACCAGAATTAGGCAACAAAGGAATAGACACATTAGAACATGTGACAGCTGGAAATAATCATGGATAGAGAGACAGGGAAAGACAACAAAAGCAATTTCATAGAGCCTGTTGCCTTATCATCCGAAAACCATTAGGAGGGAGAACGCAAAGAAAGAAGACGATTGAAGGTTATATTTGATATTTTAGGCCACTTTAGGTATAGAATAAAATAGTTTAGTAATCGCTGATTTATTCCATGTGGGTTCATATATTTTCTGTATCTTATTGATTATTGTCGGCTCTGTGGCTGAGTCGATGCGAACGCTTCGTAATGCCGGGATCCGAGTTCGATCCCAGCTGCGGGCCATGCGCCTTACGTTGGTTTCGACAGTAGTATCAAGAAAGCCGACCTTGCAGTGGCAAACTACTGGACGTAAATTTGCCTAGAAAAACTATACAACAGCCAGGAGCAGTTGGGGTTGGTTCTGCAACGTCCTGTAAAGGATACGCAACTAACTAACCTATTTATTATTATATCAAACGGCCACACCTTCACTCCCATTTTCGTCAAACACTTTTAACAAATTTTTTCTTTCTCTTGTTCAGTTGCCTGTTTGTTATTCGTTTTTCACACATTATGATTGCCAGATACTGTCCCGTGGAGTGTATAAACATTACAATTAACACCATCTCATTTTGACATGTCGGATCAACAGAAAAGCAGCACGACACGAAACGCTTCATTTAACGCCGACTAAAGTTTGCATTATAATCTTTTCTTACATGCGTCTTCCAAATATGTTACCGTTTTGTTCTGAAACAATTACAAACTTAGCTAGGGCTAATTCAACCGTGGAAATATTTGAGACATAAAGAATTCTTTCATGTGAATTCAATTCGTATTTTTTTTTTCCTAGTTAAAAACTTTGGTTGTAACAATATTTTTTGTTTTGTTTTGTTAAATAATAGAGAATTTAATCACTGGTTAACGACGTTTTCTCTGTGAGAAAGGACTTTCACATTTTTTGTTGTTGAAAATTTGGCAGGAAAAACAAAAAGTCAATTGTCCTGTCAAATACAGATGTAACAGCTGCAATTTGTTGGCTGGTGGGTAGTACAAACTGGCATGTATTTTGTTTTGCAAATTTGGCAGTTCCTCCTATTTTTTTGTAATTACCATCTGTGGGATCAATGCAACTTATACTGCTATAGTGTGTCTTATTTTGGGTACTGTTTTCCACATTTACAGTTGATTCTCCTGCTTAAATAGCCAACAGTATTTGGATGATTGCACTTGGGTATCAGGAAATGAAATCATAAACTGTTGAACAACCACATTTGAATACTTGCAACAGTTAAGGAACACAAGCTCAATCAAATCTATTCTTTCTTCAATAGTTAACACCATCATAGCTAAGATCGATTACTAAAACCCCGGTATATAGCAGTGATATTATAAACTAACGGTTACATGTCGCTTGAAACATAACGCCACAAACAAATGTAATATACCGGCCGCAAATAATTGATAAAAAAAAGTCTACAGTCCTATATACGCCCTATATCAGACTTGCAGAGTAAAACAGAAACGGGTATTTACGTATTGAGTGGCTTGCATCTGTTGATATAACAAATATCGCGGATTTCTTAGCCCAGGATATACATGTGTGCTGGGCAATAAAGTCGACGAAAGACTAACTGCTGCCACATCTCTGGGCGGCAAGGTATTTCTTGGCAAGATGGACGCTATCTGAAATCAAGTGGAGAATGCAGCAGAAATGATAATCCCCACTTGAGGAGACGGGTTCAGCGGGGAGTGGGTAGCATTCATTACGCTGGGGAAATGTTGAATGTTAAATTAAGAATCAACACCACAGCACTCGAGACACTCCCATAAGCGCTCCGCCCCTATCTTCAGCAGCAAACGAAAAGATCCGATTACAATGGCACCAGTAACTCTGTGTATCCGTCTCGCCCTTCCCCTGAGTGTCGAGGATTGGCCAGATTTCCCGGTAACGCTGGGAAAAAGGTAGATGGACCTTTGGCATTATCAGTAAATTTTGGTTGGCTACTGAAACGGGAAGGTATCATGTATGGGAAACGTTCCTAGCGCCCTTATGTCAATTCTTGATTCATTCATTCTTTCACGTCAGCACTGATTCTGTCGCACATTCCTTATAATTGTATTGGCTATTGGAAAAGTTACATAACTTGTTAATATAAACTATATGAGATATGTATTTTAATTATAGTTCAGAGGTTATAAACCGTATAAAATTTGTTGCTCTATACTTGTTACAAAACTAGTGCCTTTGAATTTTGATATCAACATTTGTTTCTGACAACATATAACGAATGTTGAATGTTTAATTAAGAATCGACATCACAGCACTCGGGACACCAACATAAGCGCTCCGTCCCCATCAGCAGCAAGCGAAGAACATGAAAACCAGTCAACTCGTTTTAACGTACTACATACAAAAATGTTATTTTAAAAATCAACCGAAATAGGTTTTAAATGGATTATAAAGATAACAACGAGCAGCCAGATTTTTCACCGACGAGTGCTAAAGTTGCTCTCTGCGTGATATAAATCAAAAATCACAAATGAAAAAAATATGTATTTATAATTTTGATGCAGTTTATCTGTTTGTAAATAATTTATTCTTGTGTGCAATAAATAATCCTTTAAGAAAAAAATAATTAACCTATGTGCAATTTCAACGAATTTCAGCTATACAAATACTATATGTTAAATTTTTACAAATACACTGGTGTTTCCAATTGTTATGTCTTCCGGGAAAATGATTTTGTTTCTGTTGCAGTTATTTTCTTTTAATTTTATTGAAAGCGTTAATAATGTTCGGTTGTAATTACAAGAATTAATTAGTAACAAGCAATTACCTCATCTGAGGAAATGTTATTTGGACTAGCAGGAGAAGAGGAAAGTGAAGAATTGGTACAAGAACAACAACTACTACTTTTACTACTGCTGCTGTAGCGACTACTACTAGTATTAGCAGCAGGATCAATACCAACAGCATGTGTAGTGTAGAACTAGTCGTTGTAGTAATTCTAGTATTAAAAGAAGAAGAAGAAGAAGAAGAAGAAGCAGAAGGAGGAGGAGGAAGAGGAGGAGAAGAAGAAGGAAAAGAAGGAGAAGGAGGAGTAGCAGCAGCAGCAGCAGCAATAACAACAGAAGTAGAAGGAGGAGAAGAATAATAATAATGACAATCAGAAGAAGAAAAAGAAGAAGGAAGAAGAAGAAGGAGGAGGAGGAAGAGGTGGGGGCGGTGGGATTAAGAAATGGAGGAGGAGAAAAAAAAAAAGAAAGTTAATTTCAGTCATTTTATATTTCATTTATTTTTCTTTCAATAGTCTGGACTGGTCACAAATTTGTGCAAATGTGTGTATTGTGTCAAAATTATTCCGCTGATATTTATTTCTGTATTGATTTCAATGTTTTAAAAATGTGCAATAAATGTGGCCTTGATGATATTTATGCAAAACATTGAATACATTACTGCCGAGAATGATCGCTTGTTTGAAGTCTTCCTGTCATTGTTGTCTTTTCCCTTTCTTTTTATAAATCTTCATTGCAGAAAAGTAAAGTAATATAAAGGACTCTTTGCCCGCTTTCAGGCACAGAGTGCACGACCTACATTTGATAGACCAATCAGCACTTGGTGGGTACATTTGATAGACCAATCGGCACTCGGTGTGTACATTTGATAGACCAATCAGCACTCGGTGGGTACATTTGATAGACCAATCAGCACTCGGTGGGTACGTTTGATAGACCAATCAGCACACGTTGGGTGATGTAGTCAACATCAGTCCGGCCGCATTTACTTCCCAGGGCTCTCCCTACCACCCAGTTAAGGCTGGGTCGACTAGGAAGCCAATGTTATTTTTGAGGGAAAAAAAAGTTCGGCTGAATAAAAGTCGGGATCTGAACCCACGACCCTCGGATCCGCAGACTATCGTAAGTGGCCAGTCCGGTGGTAGGCAATATTTTGTGTGTGCAGGCAACACTTAGTTTCTGGAACACGACTAGAGTCCAGAAGTGGATGAACAACCAGAATCTTCCATCGGAGTTTACAGTCGGTGAACGCGAAGAAGATGTCTGTGAATGACTTTTCAAACTTAGGAGTAGGTTAGGGTTAGGGTTAGATGCAGGAATATTGACATGTCAAGGAAATTCTTGGTAAAGGCCAAGTCTCGAAGTAAGAAGCGCTTCCAAACAGGGCAGAGTAAGGGCCGGGAACAAATGAAAGGGTCTTGTTCACATTTTCCGACCCATCCACACACTGCCTGATCTTTCACTGATACATTCTCAGACTCTTCTACGTCGGAGGTATGTCATGTTGTCAAGTCTCCAATTACATCAGCGTCGATGTCGCGTGTTCTTTACTAAACGACGGCTCAGCTTTCAACGACTCTAGAGCATCTAGTACTAGCCCTAACCCAAACCACCTTAACCACAGCCTGAGCCTAGGTCACATTAGAGAATCTTTTCAAATAAAGCAGTAAACATGACGCCCCTCTGAACTAGATACGACTGAGAAAGTGTGTAGATGGGCCAGAAAACGTGAACAGGACCAACGAAAGTAACAGAGGAAATGATGACGCAATAAACGATGACAACGCTATACAGAACCAACACATGACACACCTAAGAGTTTTATTGTTCTAGCGTTGGTGTTTAATTAACAGCATCTAAGAATAACCCCCCATAACCCCCCCCCCCCCCTTCTTTCCAGATCGCAGGACCGCCCCAAAGAATTCTCAAAGAATTTTCGCACCTGACGAGATGAGATGAAAAAAGCTGAATAGTAACGTCCCTTCTCCTGCTTGTGTAAAACTTTGGCTGAAAGTTCTAGTTTTTAATCCATTTTTGGACTCAGGTCTTGCTTCAGGACTTGAATTTTGCATACACATCCGCTTTCCATACATGACTATCTATAGCCTGTGTGGGCTGTTAGTTCCTTTATTTACTTGCCTCACATACAGATGCCCTACGTCTTTGAAGGGAACTTCGCTTTGTACGACATGCTCATTAGGGAGGAAATGAGTCCAGTCTACACCCCCCCCCCCACCTGCTCCATGGGTCTCAGAACCCACACAAGGAAAACAGGACAGTAACAATTGACAAACAATGCCGGGGCCCGTTATCATTACCACCGCCACACGGCATAAAAAGGCGACAAGAACCTAATTCAACCAATCACCACTGTTGTTAAAAACATGTTAACTGTTACAGGGAGCTTCATTGGGTGCTATTGAAAAAGCTAACTTTTTTGTTAGAAAAGCTCTACAAACCGCTTCCATGTAAACACCAGACGCCGTGTACGTAGAATCAGGGCTTATAGTTTTTCATTGTTATGCGGTTCTACTTTGATTTCGTCGCCAATTGTTTAATAAACATCACTTGCAAATCAGATAAGAAGGGGAAACCATGACATCAAATTACGCAAAAGTTTTTCAGTTCATGAAACTGATAGGCCAGTTAAAAGTAATTTTTTTTACAGCTTAACTGTTGTCTGTACTGTGGTTGTTTCCTCGTCACTTTTTTGTTTCGTTTGTTTATAAAGTGTACCTTTGTTTGTCTGTAATGTTTATAAGTTATGCATGAAAATTGGGATTTATGAAGATAACCACGCAGAAAGATAACTATCAAGGAAGATAGAGATCTTGGAGGAAGAAAATGCCTAGCGATAACTTAACATAACACATAAATAACGGTAACACGTGAGAATAAGAAGAGGATAAATATAATATATTCAGGCTATCCTCCGACTAACGGTCGGTAAAGATGGCGGCCGCAAAATATCCTTTCGACCCACAATCGTGTGTCAATTGCGCATCAGCGGTCACGAGCACAGCGTGGCTGCTGCACGTGGGTCCTAGCCATCTAGTTTAGCCCCATTCCAAGCCGCGTAAGCGGCGTGGGGGACACACAGCGGTGGCTATAACCGCCGGAGAACCGCACATTAAGTGACGCGACTGTGGCTCGAAAGGATATATTGCAGCCGCCATCTTTACCGACGGTTAGTCGGAGGATAACCTATATTCATATAAGGTACGTAAGAAGATATAGATGTAGGAGGATGAATGTGCAGGACAATAAATAAGGATTGGTGGAGGAGGGGGAGAGAGTGACTTAATCATGCATTTTGCCACCTGGTTACGAAACACAGCTCGCATAATTATTCTGTATATTTGGTTTCCCCTAAGTAGGTTACAGAACCCATTTTAGGGGATAAAAAAAAAAGATTCATAGCCCATCTTGAAAAAAACAAAAAAGTTTAGTTGCATATCCTTTGCAGGATGCTGCATAACCAACCTCAGCAACTTTTGAGCCACAATCGTGTGTCAATTGCGCACCAGCGGTCACGAGCACTGCTGCTCGTGGGTCCTAGCCATCTAGTTTAGCCCTATTCCATGCCGCGTGGGCGGCGTGGGGGACACGCAGCGGTGGCGATAGTCGCCGGAAAACCGCCGGAGAACCGCACATTAAGTGACGCGACTGTGGCTCGAAAGGATATATTGCGGCTGCCATCTTTACCGACAGTTAGTCGGAGGATAGCCTATATTCATATAAGGTACGTAAGAAGATATAGATGTAGGAGGATGAATGTGCAGGACAATAAATAAGGATTGGTGGAGGAGGGGGAGAGAGTGACTTAATCATGCATTTTGCCACCTGGTTACGAAACACAGCTCGCATAATTGTTCTGTATATTTGGTTTCCCCTAAGTAGGTTACAGAACCCATTTTAGGGGATAAAAAAAAAAAAGATTCATAGCCCATCTTAAAAAAACAAAAAACTTTAGTTGCATATCCTTTGCAGGATGCTGCATAACCAACCTCAGCAAGTTTTGGCTGTTGTGGTTTGTCTAGGCAAATATTACATTCAGTAGTTGGCCATTGCTACCGAACGGTCAGCTTTTGGTGCCACTGCAGCTTGGATTGAATGCTGTGAGACCCTAGTATTTTTCATGGTACGACTTTTCAATCATCATCTGAATGCTGTGTCCAAATGCCATGATAATGGTATTTTATAGGAAAAATTCCTGCAGTGGGAATTAGACCCCGGTGCTCCAAAGGTTTGCTGCCATTTTAAACATGTTTACCACAACCTCAAACAGATTTTCTGCAGCCTTGAAAAGATTAATGCAAACTAAAACAAATTGTTTGAAGTGTGTGCCCACATTCAGGAATACATGAGAGTGGAATCAAGTGTTAATGCTACCAACATGCTACATGAACAGTCAGCATCCATGCACTGCAAGGTCTGCTGGGAGAAACTGAACACATCAAGGGCAAAAGGTTAACAAAACAAAGTATCTTTCTTTTATGCCACTGGGGCATCCGGCATATGATGCTAGACTTTTTGTGTGTGTATAGACCAGCTGGCAGATGATGTGGTCAATACAGCAGCGACCGCTTTAACTTTCCAGAACATTACCTTGTACCTTATAAGTTAAGACCTTCGGGCCTGCAGTCGAATGTCTTCTTCTTCTTCTTCTTCTTCTTCTTCTTCTTCTTCTACTTCTTCTTCTTTTTCTTCTTCTTCTTCTTCTTCTTCTTCTTCTTCTTCTTCTTCTTCTTCTTCTTCTTCTTCTTCTTCTCCTTCTTCTTCTTCTTCTTCTTCTTCTTCTTCTTCTTCTTCTTCTTCTTCTTCTTCTTTCTTTCTTCTTCTTCTTCTCTTCTTCTTCTTCTTCTTCTTCTTCTTCTGCTTCTTCTTCTTCTTTTTCTTTTTTCTTTTTCTTCTTCTTCTTCTTCTTCTTCTTCTTCTTCTTCTTCTGCTTCTTCTTCTTTTTTCTTTTTCTTCTTCTTCTTCTTCTTCTTCTTCTTCTTCTTCTTCTTCTTCTGCTTCTTCTCTTCTTCTTCTTCTTCTTCTTCTTTCTTCTTCTTCTTCTTCTTCTTCTTCTCTTCTTCTTCTTCTTCTCTTCTTTTCTTCTTCTTCTTCTTCTTCTTCTTCTTCTTCTTCTTCTTCTTCTTCTTCTTCTTCTTCTTCTTCTTCTTCTTCTTCTTCTTCTTCTTCTTCTTCTTCTTTTCTTCTTCTTCTTCTTCTTCTTCTTCTTCTTCTTCTTCTTCTTCTTCTTCTTCTTCTTCTTCTTCTTGTTCTTCTTCTTCTTCCTCCTCCTTTTCTTCTTCTTCTTCCTCTTCTTCTTCTTCTTCTTCTCCTCCTCCTCCCCTCCTCCTCCTCCTGCTGCTGCTGCTGCTGCTGCTGCTGCTTCTTCTTCGTCTTCGTCTTCGACTTCGTCTTCTTCTTCTTCTTCTTCGTCTTTGTCTTCGTCTTCTTCTTCTTCTTCTTCTTCGTCTTCTTCGTCTTCTTCGTCTTCTTCTTCTTTTTCTTTTTCTTCTTTTTCTTTTTCTTCTTCTTCTTCTTTTTCTTTTTCTTTTTCTTCTTCTTTTTCTTCTTCTTCTTCTTCTTCTTCTTCTTCTTCTTCTTCTTCTTCTTCTCTTCCTCCTCCTCCTCCTCCTCCTCTTTCTTCTTCTTTTTCTTCTTCTTCTTCTTCTTCTTCTTCTTCTTCTTCTTCTTCTTCTTCTTCTTCTTCTTCTTCTTCTTCATATTCAGCTGCTGTAAAATACAGTAAAAAGTTATGGTTACTTATCTGCTTCGGAACTTTGGTCTTGTTCCAAAACTTGAGTTTTGCATCAGTTTTATAGATCTGGCATATCTGTGTGCAGACTGTTGGTTCCTAGCCTCTCTAGCAGATGGACTTATACTTTGAAAAAAAGCCACTCCAAATTTGTCAACTTTTACAACATGCTTGTTGGGCAGTGGGTCTATTTTTGTGTCCTTGAAGAAGGGGCCCTGAGAATTCACATGAGAAGTCTGAATATGATGCACGGTCCCTGTATAAAAATACAAGGAGGGGAATCTTGAGGAGAAAATTTAGTGTGGGTATCCAGCCACCTTTCTTGGATACTAGTGATGTCATTATTTGGGAACCCATGTGATGATTGGCTTAAAAAAAAGTAAAGTTTTAACATTTGCAGCGTGTGGAGAGAACGGGATGGGTCCGGAACAAAGTGAAGGATCCAGAAACTGTTGCGGAGCATATGTATCGAATGGCGATGATGGCGTTTGCAATCCCTTCACATTTAGGCTTAGACAGAGATAAGTATGTTTTATCAGCTTGTTTATGTGTTTGTATCCCCCCACACCCCCGACTTCCCTCCCCCAATTCTGTTCTGTGTTGTTGGTGTCTGTAGCTTGTTTATAAATGTAGTTTCATAATTCTGACATGCTGGGTTCAGTTCAGCTGCAGACAGATTGGCAGCAGACTGCTTTGCATTAATTTTAACAATGGTATGAGCTTTGTAATATTTTGAGGCATCATTGACTAGGGATAGTACAGCGGTGGTTTCCCCTCGCCTTCCACCGGTTTGTATATGGTTTGACTCCAATAGCCTTTGTCTAAAGAGACTTACCATGCAAGGCAGCAGGGGGAAGAGGTTATGACGCCTCTTACCCACCGATGGCCATGTCGTAGAGTTTTGAGGTATTTTATAGAGTTAGCTGTCCCACCAACTAACTCGCCTCCTCTCAATGACCATAACCTGTTTTGGGCCCACGGCCACTTATTCAATATATTCGTGGCTAACCTCTATATCTAGAGGCCTTTCCACCATCCGCCACCTGATAAGACGCGCCTAGTAGTAGGACAGGCTCCTACCTCAGGCACCTGTCCTACATCATCCTACTCCTTTGACATGCTGCAGGAGATCGTGGATTGTGGAGAGGCATGATCGCCCACGCCAGTCGGCAATTCACCTGATGATGATGATGACGATGAGCTTTGGCATTATAGGGGGCAAAGAAAAAATGCTGAAGGTAAAATTACCTGGTCCCCCCGTGTGGGTTCCAGGGCCCCATTGTAGGGGAAAACAAGAATAGACCCACTGTCTTCCCAAAAGCATGTCATAAGAGTCAACTAATTGGGGAGCTTTCTTTGAAGTCGGAGTGCATCTGCCGGAGAGGCAAGGAACCAACAGTCTGTATTCAAGAGAATGAGATCTGTAAAACTGATGCACACGCAACACTCAGGTTCTGGAGCAGGACTGCAGTTCAGTAGTGGACGAGCAACCAGAACTTTCCGCCAGAGTTTACAGCTGGTGAACGCGAAGAAGAAGAAGAAGAAATTACCTGGTAAAATCACAGCTAATAAATACTGAATGGCTGAAACTATATTCTAGGTGCACATATTGTTGTCAGCTCGTGAGATAAACACACTGAAACTGACAATTGTTATGTATACTTAACTCTTTGAGTCCCAAGGTCTCAGTGTAATTTCCGGGGCCCTGTTATAGGAAAAACAAGAATAGACCCACTGACTACCCAAAAGCATGTCATAAGAGTCGACTAATTGGGAGCTTCCTTCAAAGTCGGAGTGCATCTGCTTGAGAGGCAAGGAACCAGCAGTCTGCATACAAATTAGTTAGATCTGTAAAACGGATGCACATGCAACACTTAGGTTCTGGAACAGGACTACAGTCGTGATGTGGATGAACAACCAGAACTTTCTGCCAGAGTTTACAGCTAGTTGACGAGAAGAAGAAGAAGAAGAGAGTCCCAAGGAACGCATAATACGTTTATATTTTCCTACCTAGAAATCCAATGAACGCAAGATGGGCCTATTTTACGTCTATCTTGACTACCCCTTGGGCCTCTGATGCTAAACCCCTTAGGACTCAAAAGAGTTAACTACGCTGTCTGGTGCAGAAGCTTGAACAATGAACGGGCAACCGTAAAAGCAAATTCTCTGGAAGTCTGGTTATACAGAAGGATAGGTAGTATTTCATGGAAACAAAAGCTGTCAAATTTAAAATACACAGGCTCTGTAAAAACTGGAAATGAAGAGTTAGCAAAAAAAAAAAAAAAGGCAACTGAAATAGTTCAGCCACATTAAAAGACATAACTTCCTGTGGAGATCGCACCTGACTGAATAAATGCTGGGGTTGGTGTGGGCGTGGCGAAAACTAACATAACTATTTTTTATTAAATGGAGGAAATATAGGACTTTTTTAAATGCCTTTATGTGCTTCAGGCATTGTGACTCTACGTGTGGGGGTGTGTTCAACCGTAAAGGTGCAGAATTGCAACCTAGTTGTCTACCACAACACAGTGTTCTAACTGCCCTCTTTAACCCTTTTGGCCCAAGAACTTATAAAATAAAATATAAGTTCATGACCCTGTTAAGATTCCTTCAAAGAAGAAGTAAAAACATCATAAAGTTTTAGACAGGTCGCTAATAAGGTCGTTAAAAAAAATGAATTGACGTTTAAAAAATATTTTTTGGAGTACATAAAGATACATAAGAGTAATTTATCTGTCTGTCAAACTCTCTGTCTGTCTGTATATGTATGTATATCTATCTATCTATATATAAATAAATAAATAAATATATATGTATATGTATGTATATATGTGTGTATATATATATATATATATATATATATGTATGTGTGTATATATATATATATATATATATATATATATATATATATATATATATATATATATATATATATATATATATATATATATATATATATATATATATATATTTATATATATATGTATATATATATATATATATATATATATATATATATATATATATATATATATATATATATATATATATATATATATATATATATATATATATATATATATATATATGTATATATAAAAATAAAAATATATAGATGACTAATGGTAAACACCTACAGGGCGAGGCATTAAATTAATTACATCCCCTGAGACCAAAAAATAAAAGCACACAAATATTGAGTGACTTATGCTTTGACCCTGTGATCTTATATATTGGCTTAAATAGAGCCATTCAGCACAAAGGAAAACCCCTCTTATGTTATTATTAGTTAATTTATTAATATCCTCATTGATTGTGCAGGCGCAAACGTAGCCAATTACAGTAACTATGTATGTTCTAAACAGGTCACGATAGGCAAGTCGGAAAAATGACATTTAGGGGGAATTGGACCTAACTGTATTAGTTTTTTCAGTTTTTCGGGGCGAAAGGGTTAAGGTCAAAGGCTGAGAAATGCTAACTCATATCTACTGGGCTAGCAGGTTAATGTGCTTATCACTGGGTTACCTTAGCTGCGGTCTGTGTGCATTTCTTCTTTTTCTTTTTCTTCTTCCTCCTCCTCCTCCTATTTTCAGAATGGAGCATAGGCTCTCCACAAGCCCAAGAATGCTAAAGAAATGTGTGGATAACTTCTTGAATCAGCAGTAATAAGACAAAGAAAATTAAATTAGGAAAATGTAGGAAAATATGACTTTTTTTTTCATGTATTTATGGGGCTGTATGCATTCAGTGTTCAGTGGTTGATGTTGTGGAAACCAAACTGACCACCTTACTTTGCTGGACATTTCCTTAACTCAGATAGGGTTGGGTTGACCTGGGCGCCCAAGTCAGTTTCTGTTCTCTTTTATTACCATACTTCCTTTCCCCTCTAGGTTTCGGCGCCCCACTTTAGCGGAAGAGAAATAAGACTTTAGTCTTCTTCCATAACTTGAGTTTTGTTTGCACATCTGTTTTACAGATATGGCTTACTTGTATGCAGGCTCAGGCAGATGCACACTGACTTCGGAGGAAAAATCCCTAATCAGTTGCTTTTTACGACACACTTGTTAGAGAGGCAGTGGGTCTATTCTATTTTCCTCCAAAAGTAGGGTCCTGGAACCCATAGGGGGCCGGGGGGAGGGGGGGGGTCATAGATTCAGTTTTGGATGGCATCTTCAGTTTTCAAGCTCATTTGTTTTTTCATCAGCTTCTGGGGTTTGTGCTGGGGCTATGGAAGCTGTTTCTTAGTGCAGTTTTCTAGGCAGATGGCTAGCCACTCTGAAGAATTAATCCAAGTCGTAAGGGATAAAATCTGGTACATGAAGGTTGATCTTGTCATCTGTCTTCCTCTTTCTTCTTTTCCAAGGAATGCCTCGCAGCATCATGGCAGGAGGAAATATCTGGTACGAGCCCTTCTGATATTTCTGCGGTGCATCTTCTGCATGGTCGACCTCTCGCTCTGCTACTGCTGTATGTGTATAACATTGCTTTCTGTGGTGCCCTGTCTGCTGCCAATCTTGTTACATGGCCAAACCATTTGAGTTGTTGACAACATATAAAGTTCAGAATTGGTTCTGTGCAGACTCTCCTCCTGATATCATCTTTCCTTACTCGATCTTTTACCCGTAAACACCCAATGTCCTGTTGTGGATTCTGAGGCCTCTTTGTGGGCGGAAAAATTATTATATCCATCCCCCTTTCTAATAAATATGCATAAAAGGCGACTAATAAGGAGTATTTCCTTCATAGTCGGAGTGCGTCTGCCTGAGGCAAAAACAGAACTTTCAGCCAGATTTTATAGCTAGTGAACGCTAAGAAGAAAAGAAAGAAGCCAAAGCAGAAGCTGCTCTAGGATTATCCTAACTCCTTGACATCTTGCTTCAGGTGCATAAAGATTGCCATTGTTCATGACATGGCCGAGAGCATGGTCGGGGACATCACTCCTTGGTGTGGGGTCAGCAAGGAGGAGAAGAACAAGCGTGAAGAGGTATTATTTGTTTTTGTCCTGTTCCCTTTCTTGTCTGTCCTGTTTTTTTTAAACTCTTTCAGTCCCAAGGAATGCATCATACGTTCACAGGTTCCCACCCAGAAGCCAAGTGAACACAAGATTCACTGATTTTACGACACTCTTTACCACCTCTTAGGCCTCTGATGTTAAATCCCCTAGGACTGAAAGAGTTGAGTCTTGTTTATGCATGTAGGCCAACAGCTTTAGGCAGGGGAGCGTATTGGAGTAATGGACCCTTTTCCACGCCTTTCAGGCATATTGGGTATATAGGGCTAGACCTATATTTTTTAGACCAACGGCACAAGGTGGGTGAAGTGGTCAGCATCATGCCGACCGCCTTTACTTCCCAGAACTGCACCTGGTACCCACTCAAGGCTGGGTCAACCTGGGAGTAAAGGTCATTTTAAAAAAAAGTTCGGCCAGGGACCGAACCCACGACCTTCTGATCCACAGGCGAGCGTCTCGCCGCTATGCCACAGCGTCTTCAGAAGGTTCTAGCCTTATCCTAAAAAGAGGAATTGAACCTGAAAACTGAATGTTATGACAGAATAGGCCCCTAGCCTTGGCTAGCAGCTGGTCTAAGAGGGAAGCTCTGACAAGCAGGTCACATCTGAGTGGGTTCAACTCCACCAGGACATCACAGCAAGCGATAAACACCTGGTGACACAAAGTGCCACCATTCGGATGAGAATCACCCGAGCGCAAGTCCCAGAAACCTTGTTCAGCCATTAGGTTTGAATTTTTAGGGCCTCCGATGACCTCCGGGGTGGGGGGATTTGAAATAAAAAAAAAAATTTTAAAATTGCATCCCATATTGGGGCAAGGTTAAGGCAGTTAACAAGGGCACTCCTCTTGGGATCAGGAAGCTTCTGTTGCATGCTTTGTTCCAAATTATGGTTGAACAAAAATGAGACCCTGTTCCACTTAACAAACATGTGAGGAAGATCTGAACAGGTATGCTTTGTGCAGAGTGGCATGCTTCGCTGCGGAGGACACGAGTGATGAGTTTTGTCTGGATTTTTTCACTGGGTCATGCCGGTGTGTTGGGAAATGAACAGGCAAACAGACTGGCTGGCTCTGCACAACTTGGTGGAATACTGCTACATGATAGGGCAGACGTGGTTAGTGCCTCGTGGGAGAGCGTGTACAATGCGGAGGAGCAGATGGATCACCACAGTCTGGTGAGATTGATGCAGTTGGGGGTGACGAGAGGTTCTGGCAGAAGCTCAAGGCTCAGAGGAAAGGCAAGACGGACGTTTAATCAGAAAGCTACTGGCACCATTAATATCGGAACTCTTCGCTGGCTGCTGAAGATGGGGACGGAGTGCTTATGGGAATGCCCCGAGTGCTGTGATGTCGATTCTTGAATCAAATCAAATCAAATGAAACATGTGAGAAAAAGGTGACTAACTGATTTGCTAAAATAAGATGTGTTGGGCCATATGGTAGAGAATCACTGCCTAACTGTGAACCATAACATAGTTTGCCTACGGCCGTTTTAAGGGCAAACATCAAAGAATTCTAGGTCATGACTGCTGGGCTAGCAGGTTAGTATGATACCCACGGTGTGTGACCATGATTCCTGTGTCTTTTTATTTTTCTTTATCTTGTTGTTGTTGTTCTTCTTCTTCTTCTTCTTTTTTCTTCTTCTTCTTCTTCTTCTTCTTCTTCTTCTTCTTCTTCTTCTTCTTCTTCTTCTTCTTCTTCGTCTTCTTCTTCTTCTTCTTCTTCCTCCTCCTCCTCTCCTCCTCCTCCTATTCCTCTTTTTTTAATTCTTCTTCCTCCTCTTCTTTTTCTTTTTCTTCTTATTATTATTTTTATTCTGCTCCTTCTCCTTCTTCTTCCCCTTATTCTCTTTGTGCATATGTGTCTGCATCTGCTTCTTTTTCTTACTCCTCCCCTTCCTCCTCACACTTTTATTTCCAGAATGGAGCATAGGTCTTAAATCCACTCAAGAAAGGTGGACAAAAATCAGAGAACTATCTGGACAACCGCTGGTATCAACAGTAATGAGACAAAAAAAGGAGAGACTGGCAGTATCTTGGGTACATCATGAGGAGAAGCAGGCAGAGAATCACCAGACAGGCACTGAAATGGGAAACAAATGGACTGAGGAAACTATACCCAGGAGAAACCCTGAGATGGACAGTGATGAGAGAGGCCAAAGATGCTGGACTGGATTCCATCCTTGATATTGAAAGGATTGCACAGGATAGAACAGAATCGGGGTGTAGACTGTGAAGTCTATGTAAAGTATAACAGTACAATGTGATGATGATGATGATCTTATGTTCCGATGGAGGGTAAAAGAAGAAAAACGTGAAGAGGAGTGTTCACTTCTCTTACATGCCACCTTGCATGTCTGACTCCCCCCCCCCCCCCCCCTCCCCCCAAATTACAAAAAGTCAAGCAATTTAAAAAAAAAAATAAACAATAATCGCCTGTCAGTAACATATGGATCTAATATTAGTAAAGTCATTTTGTGAAAAGATGGTATCATGCTTTCATGACCTCCAGTCTTTGCATCTCTCATATAAAGTGTAGCAGTAATGATTCAAAACTAAACCCAAATTACCCAAGGAATCAAAAGTCTGCAATGAAGAAGTGTTGCAATTTTCACATGGCCTTTTCCAGATTGAAAATTCTGGCAATCATTTTTATCCCCTTGCCAGCCTGGCATGTATTATCACTTGTTATGGTTATGCACATTTAAATAAATTAAGCAGTTATAATCTGTGTAAATAAAAGCCAGAAAACTTGCTATCTTAGAGGAGTGACAATTGGGCATGTGCTCTGTGAAACAAAAAAAAATTGAAAACAGTTCTGAGAGGCCGAAGATTTTTTTTTTTTTCATAGACAAAATTGAGAATCTCTAGCAGAACTAAGTCCTGGCAGATGTTTGTTGCAGTTTAATGGCCACCACATACATGTTGAGGAGACAAGTGTAGGGTGACATCTGCAGTTAACTGGCTCAAGTGGTAACATGAGCTTTAGGCTGGTGATAGACTTGTTTGTTCCGTTAATGGTTTTTAAAGTGCCGTAGTTTTTGATAGACCCACAGCGCTGTTTGTGTGAAGGGCCAGGCTGTTGACTGGAGCTGGTTTTTGTTTGGGTTTTATGGGTTGTAGTCCTTGAAACAATGGGGTGCTGTGAATATTGCTTGATCGAGATCAGCTTTGGGGGGTCTTCAGACACTGTAATAAAACAGACAAAGACAAAGTCATTCAAGCATTCGTTATTTGTTAGCTACCACTTTTTGTCAAATTTGCATTTTTATTTCTCACATTACTTGCCCAGTTGTCTCACTGTTTTACCTGTCTTAGTCATTTCCTACTTTAAAAATCTGAAATCAGTTCCAATTTACATATTTCTGTCCTGCTTCTCCCATCTTTCTTTCTTCTTCTACCATTTTTCTTCTGGAAAGGGGGGGGGGGGGGGGGGGTGTGTGTGTGTGTGTGTGTGTGTAAATATTGCTCTGTTTTGTTATAAGAATAAATTTTTTCATGACTTTTTTAACAGCACCCTTTTTGGCATTGCATCGTTTGTTCACTACTTTTATAGATACTTTGTTGCGAGTATGGCACTTTTTTTTTTTTAAGGGATCCTGGCAAATACTGGCATTTTTTTCTTTTAAAAGAAAAGGCCCACATTTACATTGTTGGGTTTCTGTGTGGGTTTCTGTGTGGGTTTTAAGGCCCCAGTTTAGGTTTAAAAAAAAAAAAATCCACTGGCTTTTAACAAGCATCTTTTAAAAGGCGTATAATTAAGGGTTTACTGCCCCAAAAGGGATAGATACTGCAGCCTAGCTGTAAACCACAACACATTGTGCAAACTAATCATTTAAGGGTGAATACAGATTAATAATTTTAATTAATTAATATATGTTCATAGTTTATTTAAAGATGATCTTCATTGCACATAGGACATGACCATAAGTGCTCCAATCTCCTCCTGAGTGAATGTTTCCAAGTGTTTTTAGGCTAACAATTCCCATTCTGTTCTAACTGATGTAACAACGGGTGGCTCCCGCATGGTTTTCCTGTCTCTCTGCTCCAGTTGGTACATCCAGGGTGTGCAGTCTATTCAGTGCAAAATCATTTTCCACGAAACTGAAAGCCTCACAGCGTTTAGTCTCTCGCCTGTCAATAGATGGCCCATTCTTGTTAGTCGCACTGTCAGCCAAGGCGTCTGCTCTTTCATTGCCTTTCACGCTAGCATACCCTGACACAAAAATAAAAGTGATTTTGCAAAATGCTGCTAGCTGTATCAACAAATGATTTGTTGTGTATTCTTTAATCTTAAATCTGTAGTGTTCTTGCTTTCTTCGTCATCATCATCATTAGCCAGCAGGTTCTTTACAGAACGTTGCTCTCGTCATGGCACCCCTGAAAGTCTCTCTTTCTCTGGCCAGTTTTCCAGCCCTGTGTGCTTTTGCTTTCTTCATCCAGTCTTATGTCCTTTCCTTCTTGAAATATCTAATATCAGTTCCAATTATCATAGGATTATTTTCTGATTTCTTTCGTGTTTTCCTTTGCCCCATTTTGGCAGGCAAAAAAGAGTAGACTCTCTGCTAACCAAGCATGTCATAAGAGGCAACTAATTTGCTGAAGTCGGATGTGTTTGGCAGAAAGGCACAGATATCACAGCCTAGCTGTAAACTGCAACATAATGTGCCAGCTGCCCTCTTAAGGGTGAACTCAAAAGAATAATTTCAGTTAACATTTGATTTGTTTTCTATTCCTAGATCTTATTTCTGTTATTTTTTGTGTTGTCTCCCCATCTTATGAATGTCTCACTTAACTCTTTGAGTCCCAGGGGGTTTAGCATCAGAGGCCCAAGGGTAATCAAGATAGACCTACAATCGGCGCATCTTGCGTTCTTGGGCTTCTGGGTAGGAACCTATGAACTTATGATGTGTTCCTTGGGACTTATCATCATCATCATGTGCCCTGCCAACTGGCATAGGCGCTCTTGCGTCT